CTGATCTCTAACTTTTGTAATATCTATTGTGATGTCAGGCCAATAAACAGAGTCAATTGCCCTTGCACGCATCGCAGATACTCCTTGATGAGCAGCATGAAGTGAATCAAGAATAGGTTTGCGTAGCACAGGTGGAATCACAATTCGATGTCCCATGAGGATTACACCATCAACAGTACACAGGCTTGCAGCAAAGCGGTGAAAGGGCCTAAGATCTACTGAAAGTTCCTTACAATCGTCTGGAAACCCAGTTTCAATTTGTCTGACGAGTTTCACAAATGTTGGGTCTGATGAAGTTGCCTCACGAACCATATCCCATGTTACAACTGTGATGTTAGTATGCAAAGCAGTTGTTGCTGCAGCAACTGTAGACACATCATTAGCTATGTCTTCATCCTCTTCACAAAGACATACCCTAGTAATGATATCATGAGTATTCGCTGTTATGTCCACCAGAGTATCAGGATCAGGGGATTCTCCTGGTAGGTGCATATTAACTGGTGGGCAGACTTGATGTCTTGAGGCTGCATCAGGACCAAGGTTCTTTTTACCAGGTACATGAACTATTGTGAATCTGTATCCTAGGGTTTTTTTGTTAAGGTTCAGGAGTCGCCTGTTGTCTATTTCTGTAAGCGATCTATCATTCAGAATCTGGAGTAAAGGTTTGTGGTCAGTGGCAACAATCAGATCTTTGCAGCCAAGGATGTAATAACGGGTCTGGTGAAGTGCATACACGACAGCAAGGGCCTCACCTTCAATAGGAGCATACCTGCTTTCAGCTGGGTGAGTAAATCTACTACAAACTAGACACAGTTTCCATCCATCATTACAGCAGGCTGGAGTCTTACTGGCACATTTGCAGTACTTCTGCATAAGGAAGAAGCCAATACCATCAACAGACCAATCTGTAGCCAAGCAAGTCATACGTGCAGGGTCGAATAGTCGCACACCCTCCCTCGTCTCATCTATAATTACTTCCTTTGACTGTTTGAATAACCTGACTAGCTCATCTGTCCAGTGGAATGGTGTAGACGGTTTTAGAAGGGCTCTAAACGTTGTCATCTGTTTGGTCATTGCGAACGCATGTGCACCTTGATTTGTAAGTCCAAACCAAGCTCTTGCACCAGTGATGTCAGTTGGAGTTGGGAAGTTGCTGATGGCCTCTAAGAACTTTGCACTTGGTCGTATATTTGTCGGTGTGATTGTCAGTCCTGCAAAATCAACAACATCTTAGGCAAACTGAAACTGTTTCGGATTTAGAGTTATGCCATTCCGAGCAAATCTAGCCACTCACATGCTTGAAAGAATGCTGCTTCAATGGATTCTACCCACATGCATGTGTCATCTACGCATTTCACCTTGTTTTTGAAATCAGCTATTATGGCTTCAAAACGCTGGTTTTAGGCATCACCACGCCATGAATCCTTGAGGTGCAACTCTATACCTGTAACGGCCCCAAGGTGTGATGAATGTCGTAAAGTGACGGTCCTCCTTTCTAATAGGAACCGAGTGGTATTCATTCCAGGCATCTGTCACTGTTTTCTTCATGCCCTGAGGGACCCTGTCTGCCAGATGAAATGGGCTTTGAACATGATGAGTCTGTCGTACAGAGTGACGATTCTGTGGTTGCAGGTCCACTGTTCTTCTTGGGGTACCATCAGCTTTGCTTGTTACCACCATCCTAGAACACCAAGTTGTGGGAGTGTTTGGACTAACCTTTTCAAGAACACCAATCCTAACATCTCTCTCTAAGTCAGCAAAAACTTTGTCCTGCCAGTGGATTGGTACAAGTGCAGGCTTGTGAACTGCAACAGGTCTAGCATCAGGATCAATATAAAGTTGGAGGGGTTCACATTTCATAAGAGGTAAAGGTTGATGTTCACAAACATTGAATGTTGTAGCTCCATAGTAACCCAGAAGCCACTCTCTCAATGCATCTACTTGATCCACTGTTGCCTTTAAGCCTGGTGGCAAAATTGTTGGTATAGGTGGTGGTTGGTTCTGTCGTCGTGGATAAGAGCAAGTAATATCCTCAACTTGTTCCATAGCAGCAGCAACGTTTGTAGGTGGATCAACAGTTACATTCGGAAATTCATGGTGAATAATTCCTAGAGAGGTGAGAGCTTCCCTGCAAATGAATGCTCTTTCCATTGTATCTGAAACGTAACATAGCATACGTGTTGACTTGGCAAAGGGGGTGCCTTCTCTGGTTGTCACCTTTACTGCAACCGCTCCAATTACACCAAGATCTTCCTTGATGGCCCCACGCATTACAAGCTTTGCTGGAATTATGTCCCGTTCTGTAATACCAAGGTTCTTTGCTGTTTGTAAAGGTATAATTGAACTCTGACATCCAGTATCAGCAACCATTGATAACGATATTGTCTTCAGTTTTGATGTATCCTGCATAGGGTGTCCAAAAGATGCATGATCCTCGGGGATAGAAGTTAAGTTGACCAAAAGCATTGGGTGGGGTTTTGAGGGTCGAGGTATCCACTTGCCATCAAAGACATGATGTCCAAGACGGTCTAACTGCTTAGGTTGCTCCGATGTCGTACATAGCTGATCAAAAACATAGCCAACTTTGTCATGATCTGTTTCATTTGACGTCTCCAATGATTGCCCTTGATTAAGACGTCGCTGACCTCTACCCTGAAGACATGCTCTAGAAGAGGAATCATGGTGCCCCCATGCCCCACATGTTGTACATTTGCTACATGACTTGGTATAATGGCCTTTTACTTTGCATTTCTCACACTTAAATGTCCAAGCTTCACAGTGTCTCGACCTAGTTCTACGATCATTCCTCTGACCATGTGAAGGACCACCACAGGCCCAACATTTAGCACCACTAGACACCTGTGCTGGTCTTTGATTACGATTTGAGGCAAAAGTGACACTGGTTGAATCTCCGACCGCACTCCTGGTCATTTTACCCTGCTCTTTTTGCGCAATAAAGGCTACAGTTTCTTCCAGGGTCCTATCTGTCTTCGTATCGCCTAGTAAATCAGACAAAATTTCGGGGTCAGCAATCCCTCTCACAAGATTGTCCTTGATTATTTCATCACTATAGTCAAATATGTGATCACAACCAGGTTCTTTACACTTAGATTTATATTGACAGAGAGATGCCTGACCTCGCAGACTTGCCAAAAAGGTCCTTATGCCCATTCCTGGGGACTGAGTCATTCTGTTCAATTTGATACGCTGCACTAATGTACTCTCATCATTAACTGCCAATCTCCTTATCGCATTTAATAGATCACCTTCTGTCATGGTGGCAACATTACCCTGCAGATCACGCATCATGTCTGTACGGAGATCAACATCACAACAGTAAAACAGAGCAGTTGACAGGAAGTTTTCAGCGATGGCCATTTCTGCCTTATACATGTCCCATTGTCTAGTGAATGCTGACCACTGATCGGGATCACATCCTGCAGATATGGTAGGTGGGTCTAACTTAAGCTTTGGTGTTGCCCCTGGCTGTGCCTGGTGGACTGTTCTGTCATGGATCTGCAGAGCAGTAGTCAAAGCTGCAGCAAAACGCTCCGTCCAAGTCCTGAGATTTCCAATCACATCCTTCTATTGGGCATTCTAAAACTGGCATGATGATGAGTTCTTCAATTAGTAACTTGATGATGAGTAACTTTGCTGAGTATCAGTCATAAATGAGAGTCAACATCCTCCTTTATATCTTTAATTAAGGATGACTGATACCTGGAACATACATAAACATATATACATAAACAACATGATTAGTTAATTAGTTTATCACATCGGTAATTTGACCATGCTTGAATTTATGTCCACATAGTCATTTTTTTTATTTCATGTTATGATTACTAGTGAACATGTTTTTTATTGTTTTTGACTGTCTTTTACATGTCAGTTTTGCCGATGATGATAGTGTAGCCCAAATTTCCACAATCTGTTACAATGTACTAAGCGTATTAACTTACGTTCAGTAAAAATTATATATCAAAAAAAAAAAAAGCCTACCTACCGACCCACTCCTTATAACTCTGGGTCGGCAATAGCAAACATATATATTATTAAGGATGGCCCTATTTTCGGAGTTTCCTATCCGTTGTTTATATATCTGTGATAGCGAGCTTGAAGGGCCTGCTCGCAAAGCGAGCTTTACGGTAACACGAGTACCCGCTAGATTTTTTGAAAACTTTCGTCCGAAGAACTGAATTGACACATCGCAACTTTTTGAATTACAAGATAAAGATAAAATCCGAGGTATTCTGATTGAAAACAGAAGTGTAGACTGATGTCCTGCGCAATTATAGCGAGCTCGACAAGCTGGCCCAAAGGGCCTGCTCGAACAAAGCTAGCTTTACGATAACGCGAGTACCTGCTAAGTGATGGTTTTGAAAACTTTCGTCCGAAGTACCGAATTGGACACATCGCAACTTTTCGAATTACAAAATAACGATAAAAGCCAATGTACTCGATACAGTGTATAAAATACTGAATGACAATTTTAAAACGGAAAATGTAAAAATAAAAATGATTGATTATTTTACACTATTTCACCGTAAAAGAAAAATCAAGCTCGCTTTGAGGCTTTGCCTTTTTCATATTAGTGTTTGCCATGTCTAAAAAATCTAAATATGAAAAAGGTGAAGACCTTTTTGCAAATCTTTAATCTACTTAAGTTAATTATTGAATGTACATGTGCGAGACTTTTTGGTGAATGGGATGTCTTTCTTTGTCTGGAAATGGATTTAACTGTTTAACAGTTTAAACGCTGTTAAATTAAGTTTTATGGTTAAGAACGATTCCCCATTAGTGTTAAAATGTTTAAAGTTTCTAAGTGACATTTGACATAGACGGATTAAGCCGCGTTTGGGTTTGACCCTCAAATATCTGTGGTCTTAGAATTTTCGACCCTTCTTAAATTTATTACCCCAGCAAGTTTAACTGTTTAAGGTCATATCGGCAAAAACATCATATATGTGAGCAAGGCGTGTGATTTGTTTTTTAGATACCTGCACAATATTTTTGATTCTACCGCCGGGTAACCTTCTGCCATTGCTGTTTTGTGATAAACTTTAAAATTATTTACATTTTCGAAATTGTGCAATCGTACTTTTGATTTATGACGCTAAACAAAATTATCACTTTCACCGTTTCCAGGTAGTAAGACACTAAATATTGTTACACGAAATAATTTAAAAAAACGGAAAGCGCTCAATTTAAAGTTAAGCGAATAACAAGGTGCGGTCACTCTACAAATGTGCAAACAGTACTTAATTAAATTTATAATGTTAGTGATGCAAATGAACGGCTTGACAACTTTAATGGACCTACCATTTAAATTTTATTCTGACCGATCACAAAAAATAAAGAAATTAAGCAGGTAAAAATTACATGAATCAAATAAAGTGACTAATGTTTTATTTTTCTCCTGATGAGTCATTCAAATAGAAAATAGAAAGACATATTATTTGTTTAAATGCATGTTCCTTAATTGAGAAAATATTGGTCCAGTAAATAAAATGGAATTTAGAGAGGGTATCAGAGGTTATGAACCTTGCGTATGCTATCCAAAACAAAATTCACGAATGTGCATATATATCCGTTATAAGTAGTGTGATTCAAAAAGGGAGGGGCGAGGGCTGAATATACCACACACCACACACACAGAGTAAGAATATCGTGCTGAACGATCTTCAATGATCTGAAACATTACATAAATAGAGGATATTGAATGAGTGTAAGTTCAATACTGAATTTATTGCACGAGTTGAATAAAATTATATTATGCGAGCATTATTCAACGAGTGCAATAAATTCAGTATTGAACTTACACGAATTTAATATTCTATTTATCACATATCCAAAATAAAGACCGTTTAAAGTGAAATAAGAGTCATTTTTCATTCACGCGCCTATAGTATAACGCTAACATTTAGCGCGTCTTTACACTATGTTTGTATAACGCCGTGCAATACCATTTTTACGGAGTCGCAAAATCGGCACGGGTGTGTGATGAATGTACAGAAGACCTTTAATATCAACCGCACGGCACAAAAAGGTTAAGTTTGTTATAAATATTCTTTAAATATTATTTAGATAAAATAGAAAACTTCAAAAAGTAGAATAAAGTCGAAGCATTCAAAGTGAATTAAAATCCGAACAAAAACAAACGTACAATTTTAACCGCTAGGTCCGTTGAAGAATACAGAATATGAACAAGCACGGCTTTTTACCGAGTAACGTTCATGAAACCCAGCACCAACAGGATCCCGTCGCAAAGGGGATCCGTGTGGTATCAAAAATGCATGCATAAATATCATTTTCTTCGTACGCATTGCATGCTTTGGACACAACAGAACCTACGACGGAAGAATATCATGTCGTAGACTGCAAAGTCAGAGGGTAGAATTACATCTCGATTTTTTTCCAAAAAGCTTTGAATTTTATATAAATGTTTAAAAAGTTGAGAACTTACCCTGTTACTGACATATTTTCTCTTTCACATATAATTATGTTATAGTGCACATGTGAATCAGCGGAAATTTAAATATATTTTTACCGATGCTAAATTTTGAGGTTCATATGGGGTTCTGCCCCTCCATACCCTACTCCCCGTATTATAGCAGTTTTGTCGTTCACAATTGCAAGATACGGGTAACAGTATATAGTATCAACATAAACTACAAAATTGAAAGATAAATTATATCCCTCGATCATTAACAATGCGCTTGACTAGACCACAGAGCTATAAAAGTCTCTGACCAGAAGTTCACACACACGAACACAGATAAAAACACAAAAAAAGAACAACACATAAAAGCATAAATACTAAAGTGCTTACCAAAAGATTTACGAGAACCTCTTTAAAGTGACATTATGCTCATATTTTCATAGTCAAGTTGAGCTGAATTGACTTTTTATTTCAAAAGATTGACAGTTAAAATGGTGTTTGACCAACAGTTTATTTTGGAAAATGTTTAGGATAAAATTTAAAATCTGCCTAAAATATTAAAAGACTGCCCCACTCATTTTTATAAACTAAACGTTTCAGGTAAAGTCAAATTGATATTTGCAGAAATTCCGTTTCGATCCGGGGATTATTTATTGTTTATATGAAGTAAATTACTGAATTAAAAGGAATCATGGCTATATAAAAACTTATTCTGACTTTCACCTGTTCACTTAACCCTTGAATGAGCATAATGTTACTAATTCAAAATTATAGTTTTGGTTCTTTAAAACGGATGATTTTAAACCAATATTTCATATTGTCAAACACGAAAAAAGGCAAAAGTAAAGTGAAATTTGTTCGCCTTGTTTTTAACCAACAAATTAATAAAATATATCAAATTCAGTGACATTTAAATACACTATCTTAATTAATCTTAACATTTGCATTAAATGGTATATTGTTTCAATCATTTATACTTGACATATGCTTTTGAAAAGTTTAAATGAATATATTTTGATTGTCAAATATGTTCAAGTATCAGACAGCGTGATGAAATTGATTTTTCTTGAATATCCTTGTCGGTTTCTATGATTTCCTATTTTGAATTATTTGTAATAATACGCCCTCGATACGTTCCTCTTATGCCCTCTCTCGATTTGTTTGGTGTCCTGCGAGGCTCCTTGCCGGTGGTCCTGTTTGCTGGGTTGAGTCGGGCACGCGTTCATTGAATGCAGTACTACTGAATTCCTTTTGATCTTTGTTTACATACCTTAAAGACAAAGTACACATTTTTAATATTTATAGTTATTTTAGTTTCTTTTTAAAGGGTAATGTACAGTAACACCTGATCCTTATTAATATTTATATACATGTGTACATGCAATTTGACGGACAATTACTCCTACTACTAGTTTTTGATAGCTGTCTGCATGTGGCTGACAACTCTCTTGACAGACCTATGGCAAGCTTTGATGCGTAAACTGTCCTCATGTTACGTTTTCTGTCTCTATATAGTCTAATTGTATTGCCTAGGGGCAATATGTAAAATAAATGATGAAACAAAACAAAAGATATAATAATTAAGAGTCTTATTGACTCGCCTTCGTCGGATTTTTTTTTGTGAAATGCGAAAAATCGAGATATTAGCTGTCCAGTTTTAAAGTGCGAGAAAAAATTGCAAAAATATTGTGTCTGAAGAGATTAAGTGCAAGAATTAAAGTCAGAGTTACGAGTAATTCGTTGTTTTTTATCAGCTATGCGTGACTGGATTATTTAGAATGGGATGTACCTATACGAACTTTAACAGACATGAGACCTGTTGTGAGGCAATGTACCTTTTCATTGAAAAACGTACAACTAATTCTTGTACATATTTTACACATAGGAAAACATAACAAAAAGATCAGCATATTGACTGTGATTAGCTTTCTGTTAATTTGCTATATAATGAAATTAGCAATTATTAAAACTGTGAGGGTGAACGTCCATAAGAGAACCACGTCTTTTTCTTCCACCACGAGGATTACGTGCAGCAGCGATATGATCAAAGAGAATTCGTCGGTTTCAAGACAGGACTGGGATTTCAGATTATTCGTGGGTTTTGTTTCTTTCTCTACAAAAATTCAGCTAAAAGTATTCATAAAAAGTGTATATAAGATTTAAATGTATAGGCGCTCATTTTACTGTTTTCAAACTGAAAAAAAAAACGCTCTTAACTTTCAAATGATTAATATGACAGAGAAAATTGCATCATTTGACCTTAATTGATTGATGGTATATAACAGAAAACGTACGATTTTATTTCCTTTGTTAATTTCATTTTTAATCAGTGTGTCGTTTCTGTTGGTGCCCAACTGGGTGAATGTCCGGTGGTCCAGTGTTACTGGATGCCACCGGGGGTGCGTTCCGGGAAGTCTCTTCACCCTTTTTATATTTGTACTCATATCTTACCCTTAAACAAGAAAATGTTATACATATATCTACTACTACTACTTATATCTGATTTAATATATTACTTTAAAATGATATACTTGTATCTATTAGATTTAATACTTGTATACGGCTTTTGACATTACTTAGGAAGATCAATTGGTATAATTAAATCACTTAATGACGAAAACATTAATTAAACATGATATGAATATCAACAATTATTGTAAAATAATGATCGAATGTTATTTGATAGCCTATCTTAATTGGGTTTTTTTTTTTCGTAGACTAACGTTTCAATTAGATCATATATGTTTTTGTTATTTCCGAAATGGACATGATTTGTCACTTTCATTAAATATATGTCTGCCAGATATTTTAACAACATTACAAGTACAATGTATTTACCTCTGTAATGTCATTACATAGAAAAATTAATGTGCTCAAAACTGATCATTTGTGGACAAACTTTTTTTCATTACTTATGAAACAATATAGACCCATTTTTAAACAAAAATTTTTCATACATTTATTTCAAAGTGAAAAAGGAAATAGCAACAAAAAAGACTACATCCTGTGGTCAATAGTGACATATTTTACTAATAAACTGTAATTTGCTTGATTTATATGGTTATACAATTATAGTTTACAATGTATCTTGGTTAACCGCAAATGGCAAATTTTATCACACTTGGCAAAATTATTCATACCTTAATATACCACATGTATATATAGTAGTAAAATGTAAGAACATGTCAACGTATATATGGATAATCTAACCTATCTACCTTTCTTGTATGGTGTGTTGTTTTAACAAGTTAATGCTTTGCATTTATATATAGTGTATGTACTATATGTACATTTATATTTATGTAAAATTTCAAATGATCATGTATATTGTACATAATCTATTTGAAATAATAATAATAATAATCCAATGGTTTTTCTTTGCTATTATTTATTACTACACATTTTCCAAATTATAACATATTTTATGTAATGGCTTAATTTAGTTGTCCAAGCATATCTGACTTGTAAAAAAATCATATGAATGTAACATATTTTGTTTCTACCTGATCTTTTATTCCATTATTTCTATTACAGAAACGCCCAACATTTCTGAAGAATTTCAAAAATCCTTGCTTCTTCCAAAACGTAACAATGCGAGTTGACGGATCACCTACTTTGAATGGACAATTAAGGTTGAGGTGTCTACCTTATTTCCTAATAGCTGGTTTTCCCAAAAGTGGCACAACAGATCTATGGGTTCGATTACTGAACCACCCGGAGATCAAACTTCGACATCCAAAGGAACCGAGATTCTTCAATTTTGGGCGTTACAGTAAGTTTTTGTGGTTAACACGTCGGACTAGTAATCTAAGGCTTGCTGACCGCGTGGGTTCAACCTTTGTCGGGGCAATCCGTTGTTTACTTGAGCAAGAAACTTTACATTTATTGCTTAGTACATGTACTGGATGGTTCCAGATACGGATTCGAGAGTGTTTCAATAAGCGTATAGCTCCAACAAAATCGAACTAAAAATTGCTTAAACTAACGAAAATATTTTACTAAGTTTTTGTCAAGCATCTTATAGAGAAAGACACAGAATGCCTTTCCTGAAATCATTGCAATTGCTCTAGCTATAATTATATCTAGAAAGCTGTGTGATTTAAAATCAATCTGAAAATGCATGAATTTTTTATTTTATTAAATATTTAGAATTTGCATAGAGTTAATTGAGTTGGATGTTCTAATTAATGTTGTTATTTTTGATATCGATGCCTAGTTAGGTAATAATATATGTCATTTTAATCTAACTTTGAAATGTAAGAACATTCTGTTTCGATTATGTTAAACATTGATTGAGAACACGTGCGCTAAAAATTTGATGACTACAAACATACGTGCATGGGTTTTGCTTTTTGCAATATTCGAAAGGTTACATGTTTCTACTAAGACTGGAACTAAATGTAAATTTACATAATACTTTTGAAGGATTGGTAATATCACGAAGGAAAAACTCCCACTTTGTCAGGATGCACGGATGCTTGTATCAAAAACAACTTTATAGCTACATTAAGATTGTCATTTTGACATTTAATGACAAGTTGTAAATGTCTTTTGTGAACGTCAATTGCTTAAGGTGAATACCTTTAGACTTAGCTGTTGTGTATGACAAGTTTATGATGATAAAAATTCAAACACATGTTTTAATAATAATTATGTATTGTATGTTTATTTCTAATCTCCCCGTCCGCTTACTAATTTCTCTGTCCGCTAACCGGTTCACATTGCCACAAAATCTATGTAACTGTACATTTTCCACTATGAAGTTCAGGTATTCACCTTCTATTGAAAAACTAGAAATCGCCATGTGATGTGGCCTCTTCCAACACAACCCTTCAAGGTAATGTTATGTAAATGATGTATTCATTAATTACACAAACACCCAAAGTGGCATTTCTCATATGTAGTTAACTAGTTATCAAAATATGTATATACATCAATCGCAAATAATTATTATGAATGAAATAACCAAAACCAACTTCGGTAAATAATTAGTAGGACTTTAATTTTCCATGCAATGTTAAAGAAAGAGTCATGTATATCAAAAATAAGACATTAAACCTGGACATTACCTAATACCTATATGCCTACATTTATTTATAATGTTCTTGTTATTATATGTTTACTACATTTTATCATTTACTCAGCGTTATCAACAACAAAGGTGTTTATGAAAAAGGATGTTAATTCAGTGATATATATAAAAGCCACTGATTGTTATAATGATATATTTAGATCTATGTGTTATAAAAGGCATTTTCATGAATTTCAACACGGTAATAACCGATATCAAGCGTTAAAGCATAAATTTAAATTATGCTTGCTAATTTTCCTAAAGGTTGTTTTCTTTTAAAAGTTGAAAGAATAAATAAGAAATGTTCTTTTACGGTTTATAGTAGTATAAATTTTAACTTTATCAAGTATAAATTTTAACTTTATCACACTATATTTTAGGAGAAGGCTCATATGCAAATGCTGCTGCAAAGTATATATCACTTTTTGATAAAGCGTCAACAGAATTACACCGACTAGTTGCCCCTGTAGAATGCAAGGACCACCCGTTCCCTTTTTACCACGGAATTACAGGTGGGGTATTATCACACAAGTAAATAGTTTTTAAATATATTATTGATAAGGTTCTTAAATAAAGATAACTGATGATGCTATTTGAGATGCATGCCTAACTCTATAGATCAATCTTCTTCTCGAGAATATGTAACTAGGAGGGTGTAACAACAACACATCAATACTTGTGGATTTCGCAGATTTATAATTGTTCTATATATATATATATATACTCTTTATTTCCACATTTGAGTGATTTACATAATAATACAATGTTATAAAGTGAAAGCTAACAATTAAACATATATACAATTTTGTATAACTATGAAACATTGGTGTTAGTAACATGCTTAACATATTGGTTAAGTACAGATCAAATTTTATACTTAAACTAGAAATAATCATCAAATTGATATAGATTATATGAGTACATAAGTATTTACATTTTCATTATACATATTTTTCTTGGGATATACTTAAGATGCTTATACAGTTATCACTGATGCCAGTATCGTATTTCCTTTCTAAAAAACAATATTATGACAACATGCACGCATATTTAACATAATACTGTTGAAGCATAATCATCGTCTCTACGAGATTTGAATACTTCGTGCATTTTAATGTACTAATAAACATATGCTATTGCTATTCTAAAAAAAATGTTTATGAACTGTGTTGTAATGATAACAGGCGTCTGCCTATCAGTTTTTGAAACTTAGTTTCGCTTTGAATTCACTAAGTCATATTTCTGAAACAACATCTTTGCCAAATAAATTATACAAAGTTTTAAACAATTCTTCTCGAAAAAGGTCATTTTTATTACAATTTACATCAGCCTGTTTTATGACACCATAGCAGAGTGTTCCACAATCAAGAAACATTGAAATGTTTGTATTATTTCGTTTGCTTATCCATAATATGCTAATCTGAATAGTGTGTTCTAAGCTTGTAAAGTTATAAGAACATTCCCATAGAATTGATCTCTCTATGTTTGTATGTAAAAAACGAAATTTATTTATCAAAAAGTCTGGATAAGAATAAGTTTTTAATTTCCTTTCAAATTAAGAGAAGTTTAGAATTTTGATCAAGAATCATATTTTTTTAACTTAGAAATCTATTCTTTAAAATAGAGTCACTATGTATGTAAATAAAGAATTTGTAGAAAAGGAAACTTTAAGTTTAGCTTTTATTATAATGACAAGGAACCAAGAATAAAGGGCATGAACTATACCTATTATTCGTAAGCTTTTTCGTTTACAGGTTCAATGTATAAATTAAATTATCATTGTTGTTCAAATTTGACATGAATTTTAAATTAAGTTACCAAAATAGAAGACACATTTTCCTGTGTAAAATAGTTATTTCCGAATTTCTGGAATAATATATTTGGCTCTCGCCAGAAAACGTCTGTCGGTTTTGAAGGCTTTGTAACACCGCACTTTGGGGTCCAACGCACTTTGGGGACAACGCACTTTGGGGTCAAAATCGAGAAATTTACCCCAAAGTGCGTAAATATGCAACATATCAACGCACTGGGTTCCAGAGTTCTGAAGGTGTCAACTGAGTTCTGCTTAAATACTGAGTACTAACTTATTTTCGATCTGCGACATTGAAATTTTGAGATGGAGTTCGAGATGACGGTCGATACTTTGTTTGATGTTTAAGTGATAAAAGTTTCACTAATTTTACCAATTGAAATATCAGAAAATTGTGTCATATAACAAAGTACTCATAAAATTGTAAATGTATCCCTAAAATTAAAAGATGCTGCGAAAAATATCATATTCTGTCAGTAATTTACTTAATAACTTTTAGTGCCATATTGAGCCCCATTTTAAATATGAAAGTTTTTCACTAACTGATCAAGTTAATTTGATTCTATTATGATTCAGGACACATGTTTTGCATCTATTTAGTACCTTGACTTATGTTTACCGTTGGCGTTGACTACAATATATCATTTAAAACGCCATGAAAATTCATTTTTATTGATTGACTTTTTATGACCCCAAAGTGCGGTCGCATTTCTGTTGTAAAAAATGCATATGCACAAGTTTAACGTACTTTGGGGTCAAAATTGGACCCCAAAAGTGCGTAACGAACTCTGGGTTCGACCCAAAAGTGCGTTGGACCCCAAAGTGCGAAGTTACGTTACAGAGCTAATTGTCATATACACTTTGTACATTACCGACGCATTTAAACTTAGCTCAAACTGATTAAAATTGTTTATTATTTCAAACATCTGTATATCTAAATTTGATGAATATGTAAGATTTAAATGAAATATGATTTGCATTTTCATTTCAAAACTATGACATTGATAAAGTGTATAAAACAAAAACGCTCTTATATATCATATTTTGTGTGAATTTTTAGAGACTTGAGAATTTACATGTTAATTTTCATTTGTGTTTATTTAATGAAATTCCTGCTTTTTAGTAATATAAAGTTTATTTTAAATAATGTATAATTTATTATAACAACCCGTTGTTGTTCACCAAAAAGCATTAAACTGACAATGAAATGATCAATTTGGTGTTGCAATTATGAAATTGGTCATATCTTAAAGTGTATTTAAACACGCAACCGTATTGCGACACATAATTGAATTTTCAGGTTATTACTCTTTAACAAATAAAAAACAAAAGCAGTGTAGTCATTCTGTTCTTTTCTATTTTATTTCAAAGTTTCACAAAAGAAATCCATTACGCCATTCCACATCTAGAGCGTTTGATATTCGTCAAATAAATCATTTTCAAAATACTAGTACATTTTTGTACTTTTTTATTTTAAGGAGAAGGCACAGTCGACACAGTGTTTGACAACAATTTCTGGCAACATGTACCTGGTAACGAACATTGCATGGAACCAATCATAACAAACGCAGATTATGCTTATCATATAAACCCAAATATGAAAATTATTTTCATGGTCAGAAATCCAGTTGAAAGGTAAAAAGAAAATGTTTCAATTGAAAAAAATGTTGTAAACTGGCTGTTTTATTTTCTCGAATTTCTACACACGACCTTTAACGTTTTAATATATATGGTGTCAGATTATTTCAATTCCATAAAAGATATTTCTTGTTTTGATTTAAGTCGCCAATAGTTTCTATGAATCAAGATATACGTTGTCCTCTAAATATATGTTAGTCCGTGTCATATCCATAAATATAAAGCTATCACTTGTTAGTTTTTGTGAAAATATGGATTGTTCTCAACTTCTCACTGAGTATAAAGCGCAAGTCTTGATAGTTATGGTGTTTAAGGAAAATTTTATACAAACACAGTGGAATAAAAGAAAATGGTCCATATTTCAGAATTTTGAATTTTCATTTTTGTAAATGAAAACAATTTTTAAAAGTAAGGAATGAACAAGGAGTGTTTTAAATGTAAATTTGATGCGTTCAATTATATTCCGACTATATTTGTGAAGCAAGTGAAAACCATTTTTTTAAAACTAAGGAATGAACAATGAGTGTTTTAAATGTAATCTCAATGCGTTCACGTTTATTTTCAGATTATATTCCGACTATATTTATGAAGCAAGGTATATACGTTATCCATTGAGTAGCCAGTTGTTTCATGAGGCAGTCATCGATGCTATAAAAAATCATACAGATTGTAGAAAATATACAACAATTCGGGCATGTGCATATAACGGAACCATTGAAACGTTCAAAGTAAGTCAAGGCAATGACAATATGTTTTTTTCTGTTTATTAAATTTTAATGGCCACGTTAAACATATTTTAGTATGCATATGTTTGTTTGTTTCATTTTACGCCTTTTCCCAACATATAATTACGCTTAAAATAATGATGTATGATAATTGATAATAATATTCATTTCTAGATACATGTATACGGCTCCAAATTCTTTTCTCAAACATTTCATACCGTGTATAGCGCGTACTTAACCTGTGGCTTTCTAGACATGAATTGAACGCATCCTATTTTTTTTTCTTTTTGACACATGCACATATCATTACTAAAATGAAGGAGAACATAAAGGTTTTAATATTTTCGAGTAATTTAGAAAAAGAATACATGAAAGAAGATACCTTTTTAAAAAAAGAAAACAAAGAAACAAATGTTTTAGACTGGTATGCAAACTTTACTATCAATCATTTCTGATTTTTCACTAATGAAGTATACACAGAGAACACATTTGAGCCGCGTCACTACAAAACCAACATAGTGCGTTTGCGCAGTCTGATCATTCGCTATCAGTTTCTCTACTTGTAATAGAGTTGGTAAGCGAACAGCATGAATCCTGATCAGACTGCGCGGATGCGCAAGCTAGTCTGGATCCATGCTGGTCGCAAACGCACTATGTTAGTTTTGTCATGACCAGAGAACACTTTATTTCAGATACGACTGCGTGTTGGAATGTACAGTGTTTTTATAAAGGACTGGCTACAAGTGTTTCAACCAGAAAACATCTTAGTTGTCAAGGCAGAGGATACATTCGGGCCAAAAAAGTACAGAACGTACAGAAGAATCTTTGAGTTTCTCAATATAAGTAAGTTCTTTCATTAATTTTTGAAAGTATTTCAAATGTATTTTGAGTATATATGTCACATAGATTACAAAAACGAAAGAAAGAAGGGACGTTTGGTACATGTGAGTTTGTACCTTGACATCGTTTTAAACACAACGCCATGAATTTTGCTAATAATATTGTTATCAATATTTTTTAAAATAATTATATACGATATAGGTTTCTAGCGTTTCTTTTAGGGCAGAATTTGTAAAAGAATGCATATAAAGCGATGTTTAGTACTCGGTAGACAGGTTTCGATAGATGTGTGGCGTATTTCTTAAAACAAAGTATATCTCTGCTAATAACTCATCTTACAAAATTGATAATGTACTGTTAATCTAGAAAAAGAGTGTTCAAAATGATATAACAAATACCAAGAAAAAAACGTACTTGATAATGAAATTAAAGGTAGTTAAAAGGAAGATATGACAGTTACATTACAAACTGAAATACCCTCTTTCAATTTCTCTATATCTACGTTGGAATCTAAAAAAGAATCAAGGGTTTTTTTTGTAAAATAAATAACTAGCAAGTCTGGTTACAAGGATAAATCAGTAACGTTTTAATCACTTTTTGGAAAGTTTTATCAAGATTTTGTAATAATAATATGCCTTTAACCAAGTATTAATATTTAAGTATGCTAAAAACAAATGTAATTATATTGAAATTTAACATTTCAGGACCATTTACAAAATTAGAAGAGGTTAATATATTTCATCGAGGTGCAGTCAATACAAGAAGTTCAAGGGAAAAAAGAATCGGCGATATGTTACCAGAGACTCGGAAACTTATAGAACAATTTTATGAACCTTTTAACAAAGAACTAGTTAAAATGTTTCCAGATATTGACTACACCAATGTGTGATATATATAATTATTATATAGATATATATTGTAGTGCCAAACTTACAAAATATCATGAAGTATGCGTCTAGGGACATGCATGTTATTTTGATGCAATTATCTAAATTTTATACAAGCTACAACAGTTACTGCCATTTGAATGTCTCTTTTAAATCAATTTGGTATTTGTTCATTTCATGTAAATATCTTTTTGTTTCAAAGGTAAAATAGCTAGTAATATTTATTCTGAAATGCAGACCTGGATTTATTTAACTTATAAAAGAACAAATAATACGTACATGAAATACAATTTTCATTCGCATAACTTGCAAAATAACGATGATCTTGGTATCAATTTCAAAAGTTTATTTGAAATGACTAAAATGCTGGTCCACTGCATATAATGACATAACATAATTTGGCTAGTTTAATCCATTATTTTACAAACTATATGTATGTCATTTCGACTTACAAAGCAGTCAGTAGTTTAGTTGTTTATTTTCAGTACAAAACACTATTTTGGCTTTATCTAAACAAGTTTATACAAGTGGATAAAATACAAATCAAGTTTTATGTTGTCCGTAGCCTACAAAATAGTTAGTAGTATATATGTTTTAAAGATATATATTTTTTTTCTCGCCTAAAAGTAACAATTAGGTCACATTGCTTGATATATAAAATTTATTTGGCTAATAATCAAACATTTACAGTACACTTCACTTATAGCGAACACGGTTATAGCGAACTTCCGGTTATAGGGAACAATTTATTTTGGCCCGAATTTTGGCCTTCTTTATTTAATATAAAAATATATGGTTATAGCGAACACGGTTATAAGGAATTATCGCTTATAAGGAACTCATTTCTTAGTCCCAATTTAGTTAAAAGTACAGAAAATTACACTTTTATAACGAACTCCAAAATATTAGCTATGCGTAAATAGATCGCACGGCGAATATACCGTTTATCGTTGTATGTACTTCAATACATCTATTCAAATGAATTTGTATAGTTTTCTATTTTGGATATTTTTAGCATGAGCTGTTTTCACCAAGATAAAACGGTTATTTATTTATCTTCTTCAATAGTTTTGCTCGAGTAAAATAATTATAATAATTTATAATCGGTTTTCAACATAATCACACATGCTTGCAAGCATGATCCATTGCAAACTGCAAAGTACGCTTGATTTAAATGAAAAGAAATCTATATCTTACATTAGTAAAAGTCACCCTTAAATTATAAGAGAAGATATTCAATATAAAAGGAAGGAAAAATCGAAAATCTTGTTTATTCTCAATCATGGAAAGAAAACGAAAATAGTTTAGAAACAAAATATTATATTTTATGTGAAATTGAGATAAGGAGTAAAACTAAAACTGAAATAGCAATGATTTTCGAATTCCAAAAAGTACGCTCTCCGGTAGTGTGTCTAAAATATAAATATATGACTAATATTTCTATTTCTTAATCAAATTCTCTTCAAAAATGGCGGACAATGGTAAGCAATCAGTTCGTTATATGTAAATCTGTTCGCTATAAAAACTCCTGATACAACGAACTAATTCGCTATATGCTTACAAGGAACTCCGGATATAAGGAACAGGTAGTGAGTTCGTTATAAGCGGAGTTTACAAGAATGACAAAAATACTATTTTGGTTACTTTACAAAATAACAAGTAAGTTGTACTCGTACATTTTTTTTTGTCAAATGTGATTTTAAAATTTTGTCTTGCACGTTATAGTGCAATTTATTATTATACAAGATAAATAGCGTATTTATCTTCAAACAGGGTCGAATATATAGTATCTATAGATGATTGTCATATATTATGATAAATTGATACCGGTTTGTAACAAATAAATCTTATAACAATATTTAACGATTGTGATATTTTCATCTGCCTCTACAGACACCATGTATCTTTTATCATCTCTGGATACTGCCAACCCCTTTTGCGAGTGTTATAGGCAGGAATTAAGTGCACGTCTGATTGTTAGTAAAAGGTGAAAGAAAAGCAAAATAGTCCAAGCATTATAAACATGCTAGGAAGGTGAGACTGAAAATGTTTTCTAGTCATGGTTAAAATGTTAATATTGAAAGAAGATAAGAGATAAAATAGTTAAAAACGCTGGGAGCAAGACTAGTACATGTACTGCAAACCCACCACTGCCTGTTTGAACTGACTTAAGTTGGACAGGGTGGCAATGTTGCCATAGTATAATGCTACGAGGGTAGAAAGAGTACTTATGGTCACCGAACAGTCGTGTGAATATATACCTGGAAAATTACCCTTCTTATTTTACAACAATAAGATTTAAGAATGAAGAGCTATATCAAATATTCTGTCCATTCCGTCTGGTTCTTTTTGTTGGTTGGACAAAATATGTTTTAAATCGTTCATGTGGTGGTTTGCTTTACAGACGTGTCTTGATCGTTATGCTGGTTTATAGTTTGTACTTTATTCAACTTACTGGGTATACTTTCATTATTCTTTATTTGCAGTATTTGAAACCATGTTTACTTACCTTGTTCTTGTGTCTGTTATTCTACCCTACATTTTAATCATCTAGAAAATCATGAGCACAATTTGTTTAAGTTGTATTTCTTTAAAATCTCAAAAATGTCTGTCAGTATTTTAAAATTGACCATATTGTTTTGATGTGTGCTTGTAAAATATGTCCACTAATTGCATTTGCATGAGGTTGGGATTCAATAAATTAACTTTTTTGTTTGCATCGAGCGCGTTTTCTAAATAAGAGGAACTAGATTTTTGTATAAAGTACGAGAGTATAGATATATAGGTATTATCTGTATAGAAATGTAAGCATTATCATAAGTATTTTACTAATGTTTTTTTTTTTCACACAAAATTTATTTACATTCCATTCCGACCTTTTTTCAGGCTACCGTTCAATTCGTTGACAAAGTTTAATTTTGAACAGATAACATCTTAAAGTAATAAGTGATAAGTAATAGAAAGAGCATGGGCAAATGATACATACGGATCCTTTTCGTGGATACAGATTTTCTTGAAGGGCACGAAAATGCCACAACGGAGACTCTTTTATCTCCGTAAATCACCATGAAATCTAAAATATTAGATCAACCCGTCTCTTGTTATAGACAGCGGAAACAATATCATTTACCAGCATGACGAGTTGGACAACACATGCATGATCTCTGTTTACGGATTCCATGCATGAGTAACCATAAAAAATAATTAATTAAATGAAAATAATTACAAAAATCAAATTTAGATAAACACCTTGAAGAAAAAATAACTCAAACACTTTACCAAACTTTTTTCACCTTAATCCCTCCCTAAACTCGGGCGTTTCTGCTATTTGTTTTACTGTTTACAAAATATCAACGGAGTTATGTAAAATTGGTACATGTATTCCTTCTCTTTTTAACCATTGACTTCTAATGGCAAAATAGAGGAAATAAGAATCCCGAAAGAAAGCCCAACAGGGCAAATAAAACATGTGGCAGGCTCGATTTGATTGAGCCTGTTCATGGGTGGTAATGTCAAGTACAAACTACCGTCCACGCCCCCTAGCACCGGCTTAAGCAGAATTCAACATTTAAACATGAAATGGTAAAATTTTGAATTTAGAAACATCCGCAGATGTGTTCATATAATACGGCGGTTATCATGGAACCTTCAAACTGACGCATTAGTGCCTTTCCATGAAAAGCGGCGCATGGTCCCCAAGTAATAAAAGGCGTGTGAGAAAACGAGAAAACAACGGGCGGAACTAAACAAAATGGAATTTTGAAAGGGGATCAGAGGTTATGAAGCTTGCATATCACAGATAAAACGTCAAAAGACAACGTTAACAAGCAGGCAACATATCCTAGGGGTGATTCAAAATTATTCAAGCAGGAATATTGGAACCACCCGACTAGAAAATGCCAAATAGCGAAAACTAAAATTACCACAAAAACAACAATATAATGTCATGCTAAACGATCTTTAAGGATCGGAAATATAACATCTCTGATTGAATGTACGTGGCGACTTTTTTACAGCCTCCACACGGCACAAACAACACTGATGTGGCGTTAGAATAGAGGAAATAAGAATCCCGAAAGAGAGCCCAACAAGGCAAAATTAAAAATCATGCAGGCTCGGTTTGATTGAGCCTGTTCATGGATGGTACTGTCAAGTGTAAACTACCGTCCACGCTCCCTAGCACCGACTTTAGCAGAATTCAACATTTAAACATGAAATTGTAAAATTTTGAAATAGAAAGTTCTCTTTCAAATCCAAATAGCATTGTGATTGAGTCTCGTTTTTATGGTCTTCCTTATCCCCTAGCTAACACCGGTTGAAGCATAATTCGACAAAGGAAATTGTTAAATTTAGAATAATGTTTTATGGCTGATTTGTTTGGAGTTTCTCCATAGTAAGCGTAACCGATTGGCATTCTACATTGTAGCTCTGACTTTCAGATTGTCCCCTTTGATTGTCCAAACCAGAGATGTAGATCTCTGTTTCTGCCCAAACGTTCTCTGTTCGCAGATGTATTAAAAACTCTTACATGGTGTTTACTCAATAAAATGGCCAGTGATGACTGGTTAGATGTCAACCCGGTTTACTAAAGTGGGGATTGTGGTTTAAGAAGACACTGAGATGTTATTTTCTCGAGTTTAAATGCCATACCACTTTCATAAGATTTGCAGCATTTTTATAGTTATTTTTATCTGGCAATATTGATTGGTGTTTACAGTCCGAATCCAAAAAAGTTTAGTTTATTTTAGTTTCATTTCAAGAAAAAAAAAGATAAAAATGGAAGAAAAAGCAAAAATCGGCATTAAAAATGATCACGGATTTATACTTCTATAATGTAATATAAAGCCGTGAAAATGATGCAGACTCGGTTCTTTACTGCCTAAAGCATTTGTATCTTAGTGGTGTCTGACCGGCCAAACCAAATATCAATTATCATAACGCATAATTATAATACACCGTTTCAACGTAAACACAGGTCATCGCGTGGCAGATTGTTTTGATATTATTTACTGACTGACAAACAATGATTAAACGTCTGAAAAAGACACACAACCATTAAGTAGTAATTTATAGAATGACCGAATCTGAATCAACAAAAGAATCTCAAACCAACGTTATGGAATCAGGTCAGTAAAATTTGTTCTGCACTAAAAGTTTCTCAGCGTTTCTAACTTTCTTAAAACTGTTTAACTGTTTCATACTTTTAGAATCTAGTGTTAAGCAAATACTTTTAGTAGACATCTAATTACAGATTAAAATGTTAACAAATGATTTACAGAAATTGTATTGTAAATTGTTTAGAGTTTAAAAGATAACTTCAAGTAATCATTAATGTGACATGAACATAGGAGAAATATTTGGTTTATAACAGGTGTTGATTTAGTCCTATATATAAGACCTATACGTAACCACGGATTTATATGTCAGGGATCGGACACTCCCAGTTAACCCTATATAAATGCTTAAATATCTTGTCGTGCGCCCGATAAAGGTACAGCGCTCGATAATTTACCGGGGCTAAGTGTAAATTGCCCGTTCGCAACGGATACCTACTTTACAAAATACTAATTACTATACAGCTTTTCCATTTATTATCCGATTTTGGAAGTTTAAAGTTTATTTTGAAGAAAAATACTTGTTTAATTCATACATATATCTAATTTATTTGTTAAAGGTACAGTTTATCTGTCCGCAACGACAATTAAAAAATTAACTTGACTAAATCCGCGGTAAATTTACATTTTTTTTATATAAAAAGCAGGTATTTGAATTTATTATGACGGTACCCAGGGTTCTCACTAGGACTTTAAAAGATGGAGTCCATGGACTCCCAACCCTGAAAAAGTTGGAGTCCAAAAGCGCGTCGCAATTAATATGTTTATAGATTAGTCATTCAATGCTCACAATAGCATTGCTGATATTTTGAATCTTCAAGAGACTTTCAAAGTTTATAGTTATTCAAAAGAACCTCTGAATTATTGTTTTGTTGTTAATATTTATTATGAAATTATTTCATTATAATGCATCAACACAATTCATGGTGTTTTTTTTTGTGTTTTTTTTTCCACATTTATACCAAATCAAATTTTATTCTGGTTAAATAAGTCCACTCTAAAGACAAAAAGTTTATATTTGTAAAAAAAACGTTAATGTATAATTATAGGCAGCGTTTAGCGGAATGAATAGGAAAATCGTGTACAGCTTCACACAGTGTGTAAGAGATTCATCCGATCGGCAATTATTTTAGCAAATATCTTCAAAAGGGGGCAAATTGAAGATCGATATTTAAAGATTTAATGTTGATTAAATAATAAAAGAACAATTCATTCACGTGTTTGGACTGGAAACTGAGAATTTTTGCAAAATTTTAGGGTTTCTGGCGAACGTGAAATCGCCGATGTTCGGGATAAATTTTCGGATCAAAGAAAAGCATATGTGTATTTTTGTTTGTTGTCTTGGCATTGAATTTTCGGCACAATATCTTAAACTCTTAATACTATTGTAGAACGTTTTTGCAAGAATGAAACTAAAGCAAAATTGTGCCTAGAAAATGCCGAAAATATTCGACAATCATTCAAAATTAAACTCATTTATAATTTGAGAAAACAGTCTTTAAACTTGCGGCGTAAATAGTCGATAATTTTATCCTTTTGTCGGTAAAATTTGCTAATTTCCAATCAACTGTTGATCAAAGACATAAAATTATCACCTTGTGTTATATCTGGTAATTACATGTACAGCGCGTGTATACATTAGTCTGATCACTATTGCGAGATAATGACCGGAAGCGTTATCGCTGATTGGCTAATCGCTTCACGGGTCGATGTGCATAGGACCGCCTACCTATAGACTTACACGCGCTGACGTATTTGTGTATTTGTGGTTGTAAACAATCGGTAATTTTATGCGTCCCCAGGCAAAATTAAGCGTACGTGGAATCCTTGCTCTGAAATATTTGCGTCCAGCTGTAATAAACATGCGTACCGGGACGCCGAAATAAGCGTCCCCGAGAACCCTGGGTACCATAATAATTTGAGTTTCAAAATAAAAAAGAAGCCGATGTAAGTTATTCACAGATGATCAAAGATGCAATATTTAAGATTTATTGGGTTATGCAGTCAAATTTATGAACGCACAATTGTTTTACGGGTAATGTATTGCGGCCTTTACAATTCGCTCAACACGTGAAGAAAATTTATTCACTTTTTTTTAGTACAAAATATTGCCGAGATTGTCAATATTGCCATATTCATAGAATATTTAAATTTCATTCATCATTTATATCATTATTATTTTTTATAAATCTGTTTTCAAATGTCGGTGCAGTGAAGTAGACAATCATCATAACAGTAAAGTTCTCTTGTGTGGCTGTCTCGATTCCGGCCTTTTTAATGTCACTGGTATATTTTAATCCGTATATTTTAATTATTCTTTTTATTTGAATGCCAGTAGAAAGATATTTGATACTTTTTAATGTAACGCTAGAAAAACAATAAAAATCTTTACAGTTTGAGTAAGTATTTTGCGAAATAAAAGTAACTTTTGATTATCTTTTTTACACATCGCTTAAATTCTTTAAGTTTAATTACTTTTGAAGGGGGTAAGTGATAATTAAAAAACTGTATTTTCAAACTTTCACTACCAGGTTACATGTGATAATTGCAACACTCAATCTTCAAAAACAAATAGAATTTGAATGTATATTTTGTATGTTCGCGGTCTTTAACTACAGTCCATGGCATGTGTGGTAAGAAAATGATTCTGAAGAGGATATATATAAATACAATTTAAATCTATTTTCTTTATTAACATTTATAAATGAAATTGAAAATATACAACTAAATTCGTATAGTCCTTTCTTTGAAAAATAATGAAAATAAACATGTGATAAATAAATCATTTGACATGAATTGTGAAGGATAACTATGAAAAAAATCTGTTTCAAAATAAAAAATAATTTTATAAAACAGCTGTTCTCTATGCCAATAAAAGTTTCTTCCTTGCCAATCTAATGAATTCATCTATATATGAATGTTTGTCTAGAATGATCTGAAAATATATTTAATACACTAATTAGTAGAATATTTACTATATTTATACTAATATACAGGTAATCAAATAAAAAATGTACAAATCATTTGAAAATATTTCACAGAAATAAAGACACATTTCAGACATGAATTTCTTTAAAAGTTTTTTAGCAATCAAGAAACATTTTTTTGCAATGCCACCATTAAACCATGTAAAAAATAATTATCTTATTCTGAATCGCGGTAATAATTCGTGCTTGAAGTAAAAGGGCGCCAAAGTGTAGAGAGTGTGCCTAAACAATAGGCGAATATTTTTTAGATTAGGTACTTTTTAACTAAGCGTTGCAGCGTTCTATCGGCATATTTTCATATATTAATACTTTAGCGACACAAAATAATACTGTATCAATACATTCATATGTGTATAATTTTCACAAAGCTGCAATAACACCACATACTCTTGTGAAAATCTGTCATATTTCGCACTTCGCGCGTTCCGCCATCTCATTCTGTCTACCTTTATCCCATTCGGCGCATGCGCGCGAAGGGACTTTAAGCTAAACGAAAGTGTCCGATCCTTGTAATATTAATCCGTGACTTAACCTATTTCATATTTATCATTCATTAATCTGATATTTTACATTTTTCATGTTCCATGTTATGTTAGGTCTTTACAGATCTTTGAAAAATCATGTAGCAAACAAATTGACATTAGACATCAATTTAGATCTAATGCATTTAAACAATTAAGAAAGCGTGTATTCACATTAATTTTGACCTATTTATGAACAAAACTAAAAAATAAATACCTTTTAACGAAATAATAAAACTGTCACATCCGAAAAATCATGGTTAAATCCTCTAATTTAATTAAATTCCTTGTACAGCCGATATACAAATGTCCGCCATACAGTGCGCGAAATTTGATTGGCTAATTCAAATGCAAGCGTTTAAATGAGTCCAGAAGTTTCTAAAGGAATATTTTTTCGACGAAATAATTGCCCATGTACCGTCAGTTTGTTTAATTATATTTTTCCGTTCAAAAATTTGGAATCAATCTGTAAAGCGCTTTACTTAACCTGTATGGCTGATAGGCAAAATAGATTGATATTTATATTTTAGTTTTAATTGATAAGTACATTGTTTGAGAGTTTTTGTTAATGATGACCAGTTACTAAACTCTAAATTTGGAGTTGGGATATTAAAGACTGCAAGTTAATCCAATTAAACGAGTGACACTTGCATCTCATCACTTTCTCAAAAGTGTCATAAAGTTTGATAAACAAACTAATCACACAATGACACATGACCAATCATGACCTTGTATTACACATTAAATTTTGGCCACTTATTTTTTTTTCTTGGCCGTTTATTGATTATAAACTGTACTAGTTGTCGGATAGGTTTTTTTTTACCTTAGGGCCAGTAAAATTCTCCAACAGCAGTGTCTATTCTAGGAGGGGAGATGGGGGATTCACTCCTATTGTTAGCTCACCTGTCACAAAGTGACAGGGTGAGCTTTTGTGATCGCTTTTCGTCCGGCGTCCGTCGTCCGTCCGTCGTCCGTCCGTAAACTTTTGCTTTAAATGACATCTCCTCATAAACCACTGAGCCAATTTCATCCAAACTTCACAGGAATGTTCCTTTGGTGGTCACCTTTAAAAATTGTTCAAAGAATTTAATTCCATGCAGAACTCTGGTTGCCATGGCAACCGAAAGAAAAATCTTTAAATATCTTCTTTTAAACAACCCTAAGAGCTAGAGCTTAGATATTTGGCATGAAACATCTTCTAATGAGTGTCTACCAAGTTTGTTCAAATAAAAGCCCTGGGGTCAAAATTGGCCCCGCCCCCGGGGGGTCATTGATTTTCCCTATATGCATATAGTAAAAACTTAAAAGATCTTCTTTTAAAGAACTGTAAGAGCTAGAGCTAAGATTTTTGGCATGGAACATCTTCTAGTGAGTGTCTACCAAGTTTGTTCAAATAAAAGCCCTGGGGTCAAAATTGGCCCCGCCCCGGGGGGTCATTGATTTTCCCTATATGCATATAGTAAACACTTAAAAAATCTTCCTTTAAAGAACTGTAAGAGCTAGA